CTACTACTACTTACTACTATACTAACTACTGTACCTACTACTTATACTAGTACTACTACTACTACTACTAACTACTACTACTACTACTACTACGACTTACTACTTACTAACTACTACTACTACTAACCTACTGAGTACTACTACTACGACTACTACTACTACTACCTACTACTACTACTACTACTACTACTACACTTTACTACTACTACTACGACTACTACGTACTACTACTACTACTACTACTACTACGACGACGACGACGACGACGACGACGACGACGACGACGACGACGACGACGACGACGACTACTACTACTACACTACTACTACGACTACGACTACCACTACTACTACGACGACTACGACTACGACGACTACTACTACTACTACTACTACTACTACTACTACTACTTTCACTAGTACTACTACTACTATTACTTCTACGACTACTACTACTACTACTACTACTACTACTACTACTACTACTACTACTGCTACTGCTGCTACTACTACGACAACTACCACTACTACGATCCAGCAAAAGACGCGCGAGATTCCAACCACAATAGCTCACGCGTAAATCTGCTCCTGTAAGGTGTCTATCGCAATTTCAGATAGCAATGAACAAATATGTCAATATTCCAATATGTGTTCTTTATTCGTTTCCTCCTCGGTTGGGATCTGACCGTGCCTGGTGTTGTAGACGGTTGGGATCTGAACCGTCCGTCTGTGATCTCACGCGACCGGTTGTGATCTGAACCCATCGCGGAACCCCCCCGGGCCCTTTTCCGGGAGGATGTATCAAAGGGAAGGGGCTCCCCTTCGATTTAAGTACGACGTTGCTACGGTTTACTCTCGCTGGCAGGCTTGAAGAGGAGGGTGCAGGAGAAAGGGGACGACGGAGACGCAGGGAAAGAGGACAACGGATGCGTCGGCTGAGCGCACGCCGACAGGGGGTCCACACGCCGACAGGGTCGGTAGAGAGGCAGGAGAGGAGGTTCAGCATTTGCAAAAATAGCATCAAACAGTAACACCGCATCTGGAACACTTCAGGGCGGAATCCAGGGTTGCGGAGCCCTGGAACCCAGGGCAAGTTCAGGGCATGGGGGGGGATGTCCGGACCCAACGGTGTTGGCGGAGGGGCCGTGGACCTTAGAGCGGCGTTCAGTGCAGGCGTGCATTGGACTCCAAGCCGAGGCCCAGGGCATGGGGGGCCCTAGAGTCTAGGACGCTGGAGTGGGGGGCCCTGGAGTCTGAGGCTCTGCAGTCTGGGGCCCTAGAGTCTAGGGCCCTGCGCGAATGTGCGTTGTCACATCAGGGGGTAGACAACGGGTCCAGAGCCGAAGAACGGGCAACGCGTCTGTCCGTATTGATCTCCGTATCTTCCCCAGTGTTTTTCCCCTAGTTGTTGGGTTGTTGGTCCTGGTTGACGCCTGCCGTTCCCCGCCGCTTGAATGGACCAAGGTGGTGGTGGCCACTCTCGTGCGTGCTCTGCTTTGGTCGGCCCTGAGGCTGACAAAGTTTGGTGCCCTGGTGGCGCCGCAATGCGGCCCGCTCCCATTTACGTAGAAAGGTTCGGTTGCGGATCCCGTTCTGGACACCTCTCCTCTCTGCTGGGGGGGCTCACTCTTCCTCCACCTCCTCCTCCGCGTCCATTCCTTAAAACTAACTTCTCCCTGTCGCACCCCGAGGCCAGTTTTTTGGGCGGGCCGGGCGTTCCGCCTGAAATTTCCTCACCACTTATGACACTGAAGCTAAAACATTGGCAACAGCTTCACCGATAGAGGGCGGGTGGTTTTTGAAATATGGCTCTCGCTTTAGCGCCGCGCACATTTGTTGTAAACAATGCAAGAGCTTCGAGGTTATTATTATTATTATTAGTAGTAGTAGTAGTATTCTTATTATTATTCTTATTATGATCCTCCTCCTCCTCCTCCTCCTCCTCCTCCTCCTCCTCCTCCTCCTGCTCCTCCTGCGCACATTTCTCATCCCCCTCCGCGCACTCCTCCCTCCGACACCTCACCCCTCCCTCGCCGTCCCTCCTCCCTCTCTCCATCGTTCCCTCCCTCGTTCCCTCCTCGTCCTTTTCTCGATCCAATCCAGGTTCCTCCCCGAGGCCCGCTTTTCGGACAGGGAGGCCCACGAGCTGTTCGACGTCATCGACAAGGACACCTCCTGAGAGAGGGGGGGAAGCCAGGAGGAGGCGTCAGAGGAGGAGGAAGAGATAGAAGAAGATAATGAAAGAAGGAGGAGGAGGAGGAGGAGGAGGGACACCTCGAGCAGCGCACCATGAACTGCCACGGTGCCGCCTACCCGAGGCCCCGCCAAGCGCCGTCAAGCGGGATGGCGGTGCGGCCCGATGTTGGGCTGGAAGGTGATGGTGGAGACAGGAAGGCCGCATACACACAGGAGGAAGACGGGGGAGAGGTTGCCGAGATTCACCTGCAAGACAACCCCTGCAGACAGGCGGATCACCGCCGCACGTTACGACGACGGCGTACGGCAGAGAGCGGAAGCGACCTCACTTCCTCCAGCCCCTCCCCCCTCCTTACTTCCTTTCCCTCCCTCCTTCCCTCCTTCGGTCCCTCCCTCCCCTCCTCCCTCCCACTGACCCTGCTGGGGTCGGGAGGCCGCCTGGCCGCACCTCAGCTGCGCGCGCACGAAGACAACCACGACACCGACGACGACCCACGCACAAAAGAACGACCACGACACCGAGGACGACGACGACCACGACAACCACAACGAGGAACACGCCGACGAACACGACCACGATGGCGACGGCGGCGCCTGGCGTAGGACGGCTCTGGTGAGATCGACGCGCACGAGTTCGTCCGGTGGGTGTACCCTGGGCTCATGGAGGGGGAGAATTTGCTGCGCCGTGGCGCGAGAGACTTGGCTGGTTCCAAGGAACGCGGAACCTCCAAGGCTTACCGGGGAGGAGGAGCAGGAGGAGGAGGAGGACGTCTCGAGGATCGAGGATTTGGGGCGAGTTTGGCCTCTTCCAGGTGACGGGGGAGGAGGGGGGAGGGAGAGGCACGGTGGGAGACGGGGGGGATAGCAGGAGGGAAATGGGGGGAAGGAAGGGAGCAAAAAGGAGGAGGGCAGGGGAGGGGGAACGGGGGTCGAGGATGAGAGGGGGGAGAGAGCGCACTAGTGCAGACCAGGTCTGGGCCAGGCCCCACAGCGGGGCAGGAAGGCGCGGGCCTGCTTTGCAAGCCGGAGAGCGCCGCTGAAAGAGCAGGGGTGGGGAGCTTCCCTCCCCGCTGGCGCGGTCGGAAGGACCCCGACTGGAAAGCAAGGCGGGTATGTGGTGAACAGGCCATTCGAGGGCCCGTCTGCACACCCTACAAAAACAGGGGCCAGTTGCTAGTGCGCTTTGGCATGCGCGTTTCGGTGCCTCAGCGAACCGTGGCGCCACTTTGGGGCATCCCCCGCGGCTGCCCAGCGTGGTAGCTACGTAGCAGTTGTCCATTGCTCCCGCAGCACATTCGGGAGAGAATTTGGTAGCACTGGTGTGCTCAGCGGTGAGCACCAAGGTAGTAGTGCGAAGCCCCAAGAGACGCGGTAGGGCGGAAGGCCCGTTGAAGACCATCCCAGGCGGCCTGCGCTTGGCGGGATTCGTCTAGCAGCGGAGTGGATTTTTTCTAGATGGATCGGATGGTTTGAGCGAGGTGGTTGGCTCGCAGCTGCAGCACCGTGATGCTAGCGATGGGTGCCGTTTCGCGGTCACGTTTTGGTTGTTGCTTTGCAGCCTCGAGGTGCTGCGTGAGGGATGGTTTTCGGTCCGTTCGGTGCGTCACCATTCGACCGAGGCGTACTCCGCCTCGGGATGCAGGCGGACCGCTATTCCCCGTACCCTGGTGGTAAGGGGAAACGATCTGTTGGTTGCGTAGATTGGTTGTAGAGGCCGGGTTCTGGTGGACGTCCGCCGCATGAGGCAAATCGTATGAGGGCATAGGTTGACGCCATGCTGTGCTGTCGTCGTCGGCGTCATGCCCGTGACTAGTGTGATTTCCGGGTGGAGCAGCATTGTTTCTATCGTCGTCGTTCAAGTGCGTTCCGGGCCCGACCGAGAGGGTCGTGGTCTTCGCTTTCGACGTCGTCGGGAGGTGTTCACGGTGGATTGTCTAGATCGTCGGAGAAGTCAGGCCTTGGTGGGCCATGCGGCTGATCGGGGTCATCCAGTGGGCCTGGTGGTTCGCATCTTCCTTTTGGATTATTCTGAAAGTCGTTTTGTTCTTGTTTGCCGTTCTGCTGTTTGGGTTCTTGACTACTTGATAACCGTAACATTCGCGACGATGCTGTAGTATATTTAGTCGCGTCTTTTGACCGTTTGTACGCCAGCCGCTGTGGATCATCATTTTGGAAGTTTCTTCCTTTCACGTCGAAGGCGGTTCCTTGCCTTCCCTGTTGTCTTCGTTCACGTTTTTTCGTTTCCGCTGCCGGTTTCCCTCTCAGATCTACAGGCGCCCCCCCTGGGTTTGGAGGTCAGACGCCCCAACTAGCAGCGAACGCAGGAAATTAGCAAAACGAGCAATACGAAAGGTACGAGAAATATAAGGAGGACCGCGCGCCAAGAGAAGGAACCGATGACGTTATAGACGGCAGCGCTTATCAATGCAACCAATGTATTTGAACACGTGTTCAAATGTTGCGCAAAATGTCAAAATGAACATGTGTTTGGCTTTTTAGAATGTTCGAACCATCCGATGGCGTTGGGTCTTCGTTTTGAAAGGACATTGCCACGCGTCCCCCGTCTTTCCTCCTCATCCTCCACTTATCATCCTTGCCTGTGGTTCCGCATTCATCACCGCCATCAGCATCATCATCACCATCACCATCATCATCATCATCATCATCATCATCATCATCAGCATCAGCATTAGCATCATCATCATCAGCATCATCATCATCATCATCATCGCCATCATCATCATCATCATCATCATCATCATCATCATTATCAACATCATCCGTATCAACAACAGCAGTATCATCATGTCCACCAATGCGGCACACTTCCCACGAGGATCGTAGTTCTGTAAAGAGCCCCGCGGAAGTCTCCAGCGGCAGGGATCGCATGGCGGCGCCGCACCTATGTCCGTATACCCCATCACGAAAATCGTGGCCCCGTAGGGAGCCTCACAGAAAGCTCCTGCGGCAGGGACTGCATAACGGCACAGCGCCCTTGTCGGTACACCCCATCACGAGGATCGTGACCCCGCAGGGAAGAGTGGCAGGCTTTGCATGGCGACGCCGCATCCATTTCGGCACACCATTCACGAGGATCGCAACCACATACGGAGCTCCACGAAAGGCTCCAGTGGCATGGGTTGCATGGCGGCACCGCACCCATGTCGGTACACTCTTCGCCAGGATCGTGGCCCCGTAGGGAGCTCCACAGAAGACTCCACTGGTAGGGGGTGCATGGCGGCGCATTGATTCCACTACACATTTCACGAGGATCGTGGCCCCGTAGGAAACTCCACGGAACCCTCCAGTGGGGAATGGTTGCATGGCGGCACCGTGCAAATTCCGGTACACCCCTAACGAGGATCGTGGCCCCGTAGTGGGCCCCACAGAGGGCTCAAGGGGCAGGTGTTGCATGGAAGCGCCACCAATTTTTTACACGTCTCACGAGTACCGTGGCCCCGTAGGAAGCTCCACCGATTGTTCCCGTGGCAGTGGTTGCATTGCGGCGCCGCACCCATTTCGCACACGTCTCACGAGGATCGTGGCACCGTAGGGAGCTCCACAAAATGCTCTGGTGGCATGGGTTGCATGGCGGCGCCGCGCCCATTTCTGGTACATTTCTCCCGGGTGTTGTACTCCTGCCGCGGAGCGTCCATCTCATCTCGAATTACTGGCCCCATGGGCAAACCAGCCGACAGATGGACCCGCAACACGGCACCTACAATTGCATATGATTGGGTCCTTCGCCTGGATAACTTTATTGTTGTGACTGTAGAGGGCCACGCAAAGATAATTTCCAACACGCCCCGTCAAAAGCGGAAAAAAACGCCTTGGGTTGATTTCAGAAGAGCTAGGTTATTCGCCCTGTGGTGAGCGGCTTGGGTTTCATCCTGCTGACTTCGGCCCTGGGATGGCCCGCCCTTTGGGCTGCAAAGCGCGCAGGCGTGTTCCAGTAGTGGCGAATTCGTCTGCGTGACGGTGGAAATCCGCAGCTTGCTCGGCGAAGTGGCATTCGACTGGACCTTGACGTGTCTTGTGTGACTTGAAGCACGCGATCAAAGCTCAGCCTGGCCCCCCGTAGTTTGCAACGGTTTCCATTTGAAAAGGTCCTCGGATCCGTTGTCAACGGCTTGGTTCGACGTAAATATGAATATGCACAGGTCGTTCCGCAGTAGCCACAAGGTGGCGCATGGTGACAGTATCCACCTTCTGTGCGGATTGAGTCAAGCCACGCATCCGAAGTGAGCGGCGAATCGGGTGATCCAGCCCGCAGTAAACTCCGAAACCCGCTCTGGCGAGAAGCGAGCGGACCTGGTGCGCGCAGGCGCCGGGTGTGGCCACCTAACTCCCGTTTCGCCAACGCGTTCAACGAACCGCTCATCTTCTTCATTCCGAAGAAACCCCGGGTTTCGACGACGTCTTTGGCGAGCACTATGACCCGAAACACAACCGGCCGATCACAGTTACGAACTTCAACAATCGCATCCTTGCGAGCGCGTTTCGTTTGAGAATCCAGCCGGTTGTGGCGACATGGGTCTCCCGGAAGAACTGTGAGTTCATCGGCGGGCGCTCCATGCTGGCGAGCGTCATCGATATCGATGAGATCATGCAGGTCACGACGACGGTTTCGCAGTCGCGTTCGACTTCAAGACGGCGTTCCCATGCGCCGACCACACGTTCATGATATACCTGTTCGCGCACATCGGGCTTCCTGACTTCATCCTGGGCTTCGGCAAGGCGCTGTACTTCCAGAGCCGTTTCAGCATCGTCGTCGGAGGTGTCCGCCACGAGGGGTTCGTCATCACCGCCGGCATCCGTCAAGGATGCCCGCTTCCCCCATTGTTTTTGCAGTCGCGGCAGATCTCTTGCTTCGCCGATTGGGCCGGCTTTTCCCGTCAGCGGACCTGCGGGCGCACGCCGACGACCTTGCCATGGTCCTGGAGCTCATTTTCGATGAGTACGCACTAATCTCCAGTCTTCACCTGCCCCTACACTTGGGGAACACTACGATCGCCTTTTTGAATAAGGAAAACCTCGACGACTTCAGGGCTCGGTTTGCGCGTGCTGCACCATCCTGGGGACGAGAACGGGTTGCGACTTCGGCGGAGTCGTTGGTTGGGGTTCGTCCTTGAACCCAACGGGGACACGACATCGTGAAGCCTGAACAGAAATTTGGGAGTCGCGCGGTTGCCTGGGGCACAGTGGGCTGCGGTCTCCAGCTGGCGCTTCTTGCGTACAGGACGTACATGTTTCAAGTGTGCTCTTCGTCGCCCAACTGGATTCCCCGCCGCCCCAGTGGGCCGCCCCGGAGCGGCTAGCGGCGTCCAAGTTGATTATTGGTCACGATGTTGCGTCGGCCCCGCCGCCCCCATTGCACGATCGCCGCCCCAGTGGGCCGCCGCGGAGCGGCTAGCGGCGTCCAAGTTGATTATTGGTCACGATGTTGCGGGCGTTGCAGATCCTGGGCTACCAGCGTCAGTTCCGCGACCTGGACAACCACTCGATGCCCTTGGAGCCGGTTGTAGGGACAGTCACAAGACAACCTTGAGACAGCAGGATGATGCACATAAACGCAGTTAGTCCATCGCAGCGCGCACATACGCAGCGCGTCTCATGCATGGCATGCAGTTCTGGCTCGAAGCATGCAGCTCGAAGCGCGCAGCATGGGCCCCCAGCGCGCCGCGGCAGTTAGCGGCCGCAGAGGCCCCGACGGGGCGCGGTAGAAACCGGGGGAGGAGGACGCGGGGGGGAGAAGGGATTGGGCGATGTGCGATGGGGGAAGGCACAAGGGATAGGGGAGGGAGGAGAGCGCGACGTTCCCACACCAAAAATCAATTGATGCCTTGGGGTATCTGGGTTGGGTGGACTGGCCTGCGCTGTACTCGATGCATCGTATGTCAGCCAATTCGGCTCAGTCTGATGCATGCAGCAGATGCCCATGCACCCATGCATCATGGTGATAGGCTACGATGATGATGAGAATCAGGCTTTCTGAGTTGGAGATGCCGCTCGCGGGCGAGGTGGCCGCGGCGCTGCGCCGCCACGTCAACGCGGCCGCTGTGCCTGACGCGGATGGGAAGGTGGAAGACGCCGCCCTCTTGGAGGCGTTGGGCGTCTGCCGCAGCCGCTCACGCACGCGCTCGCGCGCGCCGCTGCCGACGCCGTCTCCCGCTGTTGAGCCGCCGCCGCCGCTCCCGCCGAAGAGCCCAGCGGCCCGCGATCCACGCAGCTCGCCCACGAAGAGCCCGGGGCCCACGACGAAAGTTCTCGAGGGCTCCACGCGCCGCCCGTTGTGCATCGCGGACAGCGAAGGGGTGTCTCTCCAACTCGGCTCGCCCATTGAGGTGGAGGTACTCTCCGACACTCAAGCGGGCGCCGCGACCCCTCCGGACGCGGCCGCGGCGGAGATCATTCCAGAGGCAGCCGCGGAGGCCGCGCGGCGGGGCCTCGCCGCGGTCGCGGACGCGCGGCGGCTTCCAAACAGGCCCTTCGGGATTTCCATGGAGGTGAACTTCCCGGGCGGGGCGGCGAAGACGGAGGCGGCTGGCTGGCGGACGTGGCCGCGCGAGATGGACGCTCCGAGGGCTTGAACTGGGCGCGCCGCTGCTGGAGGGCCCTGAACACGAAAGGCGCCATCAACGATCGTCGTGGCCTGCCTCGCCCCCCCCCCCCCCCACGCTCGCCCGAGCGCCCCCCCCTGCCAGCGGGAGATCCACTGTCGGCGCGCGCCCCCCTTCCCCGAGCGGGGGCCCGGCCGAGCCGAGTCTCCTCCCAGGGCGGAGCACCTCTGACCCTGGGTATTCCTGGGCCCAGGGGTTTTCTGTTTTCTAATGTTTTCCACGGCGATTCGGGTGCCTGCCCGGCACTTCCCACGTCGCCGGGCTCGGCCTCGGCGAAGCCCGAGGGCCCCCCCCCCGCTGCGAGGCTGGGTCCGCGGCGTGCCTGGTTTGAGTTTTGGGCTCTGGGGAGGACGAACCCTCCCCAGCGCCGCCCCTGGGCGCGGCCCCCCCTGCCCGGCGGCCGGGTTTTCAGAGGCGCCTTCGCGCGCGGCCTGCCGGCGGCAGGCGATGGTGGGGGCGGCCCCACCGCCGCGCGAGATGCGACTGGGTTTTGACGCATTTCCTGTTCCTCTTGTTATTCCTGCCCGTTGCGCTCTCCGCGCGTCGCCCGCCCTAATCTCGAGGGCGCCGAGCGGCGGCGCCGAACTCTGGCTCGACCGCGTTGGTTTCTGTTCATTTGCGAGCGCGCGTGGCCGCGCCAGCGCGCGCCCGAGGGCGCCGGGCGGCGGCGCCGACCTTTGGCTCGCCGACGCTGGCATCCCCATTTGCATTTGCGATTGCGCGCCGTGGCGCGCCCGATGGCGCCTGGCGGCGGCGCCGACCTCCGGCTCGCCCGCGTTGGTTCTGGCCCACTTGCGAGCGCGCGCGGCCGCGCCAGGGCGCGCCCGAGGACGCGCGCGGCCACGCCGACCTCTGGCCCGCCCGCGATTGTTTTTGCAGATTTGCGTTTGCGCGCCGCTGCGCCAGAGCGCGCCTGAGGGCGCCAGGCGGCGGCGCCGACCTCTGTCTCGCCCGCTTCGGCTTGTGCCCAGTTGCGATTGCGCGCGGCCGCTCTAGGAAGCGCCCGAGGACACCGCGCGGCGGCGCCGACCTCTGGCTCGCCCGCGCTGGTTCGCGTTCATTTGCGATTGCGCGCGGCCGCGCCAGGACGCGCCCGAGGGCGCCGCGCGGCGGCGCCAGCCTCCAGCTTGCTCGCGCTGTTCTCTGCTCATCTGCGATTGCGCGTGGCTGCGCCACGGCGCGCCCGGGGGCGCCGCGCGGCTGCGCCGATCTTTGGTTTTCCTGCACCGTTGTTTTGCATCATGTGCGATCGGGCGCGGCTGCGCCCGAGGGCGTCAGGCGGCAGGGCGCGCCCGGGGGCGCCGCGCGGCGGCGCCGACCTCTGCCTCGCCCGCGTTGGTTTTTATGCATTTGCGATTGCGCGTGGCTGCGCCAGAGCGCCCCCGAGGACGCCGGGCGGCGGCGCCGACCAGGCTCGCCTGCGCCGGCTCTCTTCGCACATTTGCGATTGCGCGCCGCCGCGCAAGGGCGCGCCCGAGGGCGCCGCGCGGCGGCGCCGGCCGCTGGCTCGCCCGCTCTGGGTTCTGCCCATTTGCGATTGCGCGCGGCTGCGCCGGGGGGCGCCCGAGGACGCCAGGCGGCGGTGCCGACCTCTTGCCCACCCGCGCCGGTTTTCGCTCATTTGCGATCGCGCGTGGCCGCGCCAGGGCGTGCCCGAGGACGCGCGCGGCAGCGCCGACCTCTGGCCCGCCCGCGCTGGTTTTTCCTTATTGCGATTGCGCGCGGCCGCGCCAGGGCGCGCCCGAGGGCGCGAGGAGGCGCCGCCGATCATTGCCTCGCCCGCGCAGGTTTTTGCCCATTCGCGATTGCGCGCGGTCTCGCCAGTGCGCGCCCGAGGACGCCCCGCGGCCGCGCCGACCACTTGCTCGCCCACGTTTGTTTTGGCGTATTTGCCATTGCGCGTTGCCGCGCCAGGGCGCGCCCGGGGGCGCGGAGCGGCGGCGCCGACCTGCGGCTCGCCCACGTCGGTTCTCGCTCATTTGCGTCTGCGCGTGGCCGCGCCAGGGCGCGCCCGAGGGCGTCGCGCGGCGTCGCCGACCTCTGGATCGCCAGCGCTGGCTTTTGATTGCTTGCGATTGCGCGCGGCCGCGCCAGGGCGCGTCCGAGGGCGCTGGGCGGCGGCGCCGACCTCTGGCTCGTCCGCGCCGGTTTGCGCACATTTGCGATTGCGCGCGGTCGCGCCGGGGCGCGTCCGCGGACGCCGAGCGGCGGCGCCGACTTCAGGCTCGCGCGCGTTTGTTCTTGCCGATTTGCGATTGCGCGTGGTCGCGCCAGAGCGCGCCCGAGGGCGCCAGGCGGCGGCGCCGACCTCTGGCTCGCCCGCGTCGGTTTTCATGCATTTGCGATTGCGCGCGGCTGCGCCAGAGCGCGCCCGGGGACACCGCGCGGCGGCGCCGACCTGCGGCTCGCCAGCGCTGGTTTTCCGTTGCTTGCGATTGCGCGCCGCCGCGCCAGAGCGCGCCCGAGGACGCCAGGGGGCGGCGCCGACCTCTGGCTCGCTCGCGCTGATTTTCGTTGATTCGCGAGCGCGCGTGGCTGCGCCAGGACGCGCCCGAGGACGCCGCGCGGTGGCGCCGACCTCTGGCCCGCTTGCGTTGTTTTCTTGTTGATGCGCGATTGCGCGCTGCTGCGCGATCGGAAGTATGGAACAACCAACGCGGGCGAGCCAGAGGTTGGCACCGCCGCCCGGCGTCATCGGGCGCGATCTGGCGCGGCCACGCTCAATCGCAAATGAGCAAAAACCGACGCGGGCGAGCCAGGAAGTAGGCGCCGCCGCGCGGCGTCCTCGGGCGCGCTCTGGCGCAGCCGCGCGCAATCGCAATTAAGCGAAAACCAACGCGGTCGCGCCGCGGCCCTGAGAGCGCCAGCCAGGTAAGAAATCGCCCGGGAGTTTAGCGGCTAGCTGTTTGTTTCTGTTCTCCGGCTCAGCCACATAAATTATCTGGTTGTTTTATCATTGCCCGGGATGTATATATAGGTGTGTATATATATACATACATATACATACAAATGTATACATACATAGACATATACGTATACGTATACAAATATATATACATATGCATAAACATACACATATACACATACACATACATATACACAAGCATAAACATATACATATACATGTACATATACATATACATATACATTTACATACATACATACATACATACATGTGTGCGCGTGTGTAAACATATACCTATATAAGTAGCATGTTCGAGGTTCGCAAGTGTAAATGCTTGCGCTGCGCGGTGTGGGCCGACTCTTCAGAACTCTACAGTGGATTTGATTGTTGACAGTGTCCACCGTATCGTTTTCTCGTGGTGATAGTGTAATGACATGTTAATGTCCGACTGATGCCATGTAGTACTGCAACGTTGTCATAATATTGTCCTCATGATGTCCTGTAGTCTCGTAAAGTTGTCGATCGTGCCATAATGATGTCCCGTAATATTGTACTAGTGTCACGATAGTGTCCCAACGATGTCCTTGTGTTTTGCCCCAACCAATAGGTTGTACCAATACAAGCAATATTCTCGAGGCCACGGCCTTACCCACCTAATCTGAGCCAGGCCCGAACGCTGTCCGCAATCGCATCGCATCGCATCCCCCCGAGGTTTACCACAACGGCTGGTGAAACACACAATCCAATATCGTGGCCATACTTTGGCCCAACATTTGGCCACATAAGCGTTTCCAACGTGGCAGCTGGCGGTGGTGATTCCCCATAAGTGTTTTCGATACAGCCTGGGCCGGCGGAGTGTGCGAAGCGATTGGACAGTTTTCGAAAGCGAAGACACGACGCCGACGACGGTGGCATTCAATCGACCGTCGATTCTCGACCGTCGATCGACACGTCGTCTGATCACCTCGAGCCTCGATCAACAACGACGGCGCCGGCGCCGGCCGCCGCCTTCGATCGGCCTTCGGTCTTCGACCGTCGATCGACACGACGTCTCCAAACCTCGTCCTTCGACCGATCATCGAGGGCGGCGGTGGCGTCGCCCGCGGCGTCGCCGAGGCTGACAAGATGCCGAGGATCAACGCGGGGTCGAAGGACCGGCCCGGCCGCCAATCGCGCCGCGAGGAGAGGCAGCTCGAGCATTCCAGGTCTTGGAGGGTGCGCCCTTGCTCGATGACGACGACGCCGACATCGACGACGACGAAGACGACTACGACAACGACGACGACGTCGACGACGACGACGGCGGCGGCGGCGGCGGCGACGACATCGTTGACGACGATTGCCCTACGACGTTGGCGGCGACGACGGCGCTGGCGACGACGGCGCTGACGTCGACGGCGGCGGCGAAGAAGATGGCGGCGGCGACGACGTGGGCGATGGCGACATTGCCAGTGGCGGCGACGACGTCACCGACGACGTTGGCAACGTCGTCGAGGTCCGATGGCGCCATGCTCGACCGCTCCTCGATGCAGCCGCCGCGGTCGGTCGGTTCACCCAACCGGGGGCCAGCCCGGGGGGACCGCGCCCTGGGAATCAGCCGACAGGTAACGGGGTTCAGTTAACACGTGGCTGAGCCAGAGCGCCAGATCATGTAGGATCTTGGAAATCTTGATTTTGGCTGAGCTAGGTTTGGAGAGCCACCCGAAGTATTCGACGGGGAGATCCTCTTATATGTGCATCTCATTTTCTGACACGGGCCATTGTGAGTGTCTGGTTTGCGTGTTTGGGTGTGAGTGTCAATCCGAGTTGGCGATTGATACGACGACGACGGCGGCTACGATGAGGGACAACGACGACGATAAGCCACAGACAGCCCCCTCCGCTCTCTTTGCCCCTCCTCCTCGCTATAGCCCCTCCCTTCTATTCCTCCCTCCTCCCATTTCCCTCCTCCTGCGTCTTCCTCCTCCTCCATCCTCCCTCCTCCCCCCTGGAGGCCGTCCTTCTGTGTCGTCCTGCGTAGTATTTCTTCCTCCTCGTCCTCCCTACTCCTCCATCCTCGCTCCTCCTTCCTCCTCCCAGGCAAGTATCCTCATCTCTGGTGGCCTCCTCCTTCTTCCTCCTCGTCGCAGCACCTCTATTATTTGACTCCTTCCGACCTTCTCATTTTCGCGTCCTCTGTCTTCCTCCGACTTGTCTCCTCTTACTTGGCGGTGGTCTTTCTCTTTATATCGAGGTGATCATAGGGCTCTGAATGGTCAGGAGTCAGAAGTGCACAGCGAGCGCTTCGCTCGAGACATCCCCACAAGCTGGCCGCGAGCATGCGAGTGCAACCATTCCTGGCGGCCCTCCTTGGAGTGCTACAACCAGCGCCCCTGAGAGCCGAGGAGTCCGTGCCACCAAACAGGCAAACCGCTCCAGACATCCCCACTAGCTGGCCGCTAACGGGCCGCCGACGGCTCCCCCTGGTCCGGAAGCCAGCGCCCCGCTCGATATCCTTTTCTGCCTGCTTTGTGAAAGCAGGGTCGTCTCGGCCACCAAAGAGCAAACCGTCCGGGACATCGCCGCAATCTGGGCCCCTGGGGGTGCTGAAACCAGCGCCTCGCTCGAGACATCCTTACAAACTGTTCTTAAACACGAAGAGTCCAAACCACCAAACAGGCAAGCCGCCTGAGGCGTCCCCGCCATCTTGGCCCCTCGGGGTGCTGAAGCCACCAAACCGCTTATGACATCCCCACAGTCTGGCGAACGAGTGAGTGTCATACCCCCTGGCGGCTCCCCGTTTGGAGTGCTCAAACCAGCGCTTCGCCTGAGACATCCCCACCATCTGCTTGGACAGCGCACCAGTCCAAGCCACCAAACAGGCGAACCGGCTGTGGCATCACCACAATCTGGGCGCGAACGGGCGAGTGTCATACCCAAGTCCAAGCCACCAAACAGGCAAACCACTTGAGACAACCCCACAATCTGGGCGCGAACGGGCGAGTGCCATAGAGCCTGAGTATGAATGAATATGAGTGTGAGTGGGTCTGAGTGTGAGTGAGTCTGAGGGTGAGTGAGTCTGAGGGTGAGTGAGTCTGAGTGTGACTGAGACTGAGACTGAGTGCGTCTGAGAGTCAGTGCGTCAGAGTGCGAGTGAGTCTGAATGTAAGTGAGTCTGAGTGTGAGTGAGTCTGAGTGTGAGTGAGCCTGAGTGTGAGTGAGTCTGAGTATGAGTAAGTCTTAGGGTGAGTGAGTCTGAGTGTGAGTGAGTCTGAGTATGAGAGCGTCTGGGTCTGAGTGAGTCTGAGTAGGCGTGCGTCTGAGTACGAGGCGGACGGAGGGGGGCGGAGTGAGGGGAGGAACATGCAGCCTTAAATGTTCCAATTTGGCTGAGCAATATTTGCGCTGAGCCGGGCTCGTCCACGCCCGAGGTATCAGCACGGCGGGCCCACCAGAAATGGAGGGGGGGCCCAGGCCCCTTCGCGTCGTCACAAAATGAACGACGTCTGTTTGTAGCTATTTGTATGTTCGGAGGCCCTCGCCGGGCCTTGGGGCCGTGAACAAAAGCTACCCAGGGTGAATAACAGGCCCCAAGGAAGAAGTCGTGACCTCTGGGGGTCAACGCTGTGAGAAAAAAACACGACATCGGAGGAGGAGGATCGAGGATCGATGGGAGTCGAATTTGATGTGCGCCATTTTCGATCTCGTGCGCGAGGCTGGAGGTGGGGGGGAAGGAGACCCAGAAGGAAGGAGAGAGGGAGAGAGGGATGGAGAAAGAGAAGAGAGACCAGCGAGGTGCATGCGCGCATTCAGATTTGACATCCTGCCACTCCCCCCACCCCTTCCCACTGCGCTGATTTTGTATCTATCCTCCGCCAGGTGCCCTGGAGAACCTGGATCCCCAAAATGACCCCATCGTGTGATGCGCAATCAGACAGGGAAGCTGTACAAATTTTGAGGAGTAGGCGGAGGTGGCGGATGAACAAGAGGATGAGCAGGAGGAAGAGGAGGAGGAAGAGGAGGCAGAGAAGGAGGGAGATTACGGTTAGCCACTACCTGAATCAGGGGCAACGTTAGGGGGGGATTGGCTCATGTGAAAAACTGGCGACTCGAGTAAATCTCGCCATCGCCAGAGGTGCTCCGCTGTGTTCGGCATCTAGAATTTGTTTCCTGACCCCAGGGCCGTCAGGGCCGTCAGATAACAGCCCGGGTTGAAAATCCGGCTTCAGCTCCAGAGGCGGGCAGGTCACCAGCAGGTGTGCGAAGATAATCGCGATTCACGTTTTGCGGATTGGGTCCGAGATTTGCCGCTCTTTTGGGAGCGGCGCGAGGTTGCGAAGATAAAGCGCGATTCGCCCAGGGAGCGACGCGTGAAGATAGGCGCCCTGGTCCAGAAGTCCAGTGTTTGACGGCTTTCATCCTTTGTTGGTTGTCACCACTGCTGGATTCCCCTCGAGATCGCGGCCAAGGCGAGCTCCGGAGCAGGTCCGGGAGGGGAGGCGACTTTGACGCAAGAGGCAGTCAACATAGCATAGATCGGTTCATGGCAATCGTGTAGGTTGTTCCCAACCATCCTGTGGTGTTGGGTCTTCGTTTTGAAGAGACAGCGCCCCGCGTCTCCTCAATCATTTCTCCGCCTCCCCCTCCTCCCCTCCCCTCCCTGCCTCTGCTCTCTCGCATGCCCATTTCAGCGCACCCCTCACACGCTCCGTGGCCCCACAGGGTGCTCCGCCGAAGGCCCCAGTGGCAGGGTCCGCATGCAGTTCCACCTCGCACCCCTCGCACGTTTCGTGGCCCCGTGGGTGCTCCGCCGACGGCCCCAGTGGCAGGGTCCGCATGCAGTTGTTCCACCCCCAGTTCGGCGCGCCCCTCACACGTTTCGTGGCCCCGTGGGGTGCTCTGCCGAAGGCCCCAATTGCAGGTCCGCATGCAGTTCCGCCCCCAATTCGGCGCACCCCTCGCACGTTTCGTGGCCCCACAGGGTGCTCCACCCAAGGCCCCAGTGGCAGGGTCCGCATGCAGTTCCACCTTCAGTTCGGCGCACCCCGCACATTTTTCTTGACCCCATAGGGAGCTCCACCTAAGGCCCTAGTAGTGGCAGCGCACGCACGCGGTTCCACCCTGCATTCGGGCGCCCACCTCACACGTTCCGTGGCCTCATATGGGGCTCCACCGACGGCTCCGGTGGCAGCGTCCGCATGGCGTACCCGTATCAGTTTTGGCACACCCGTCACACGCGTCGTGACCCCAGAGAGGTTCACCGAGGTCGATACCCACAATTGCGTTATTCACAACTGCACATGGTTGGGTCCCTCGCCAGGATAACTTTTGTTAGGGTGGTAACTGGGAGTGTGTCCGTTCGGTTGGTTCCCGGGGCCCCCTCGGCCGTCTGGGTGCCCCAACCAACCACGGGTTCAGCAGCCCGTGATACTGGAGTTCACCATCGGGCCAGACTTCAGAACCACCATGATGCAGATAGAGAAGGCATTCTCCAAGAAGCTTGCCGATTCGGTTTCCACGAAGATCATCATCGACTGCGAGGTGAAGGGGTGCAGCAGATTCGTGTTGCGCGTTGGCAGGGGCGTCGTGCTGTGGGACAAGCCGAGCATGATTGCGCACCGGGACAATCCGTTCGATACGTTCGACTCATCTCGAGATTTCGTCATGGAGACTATCCGAGAGAGAATGCCGACGCTGCTGCGGGCGACACGGAGAGGGATGGCGTGCGCTTAATGGAATGACCGCCTCCTCCTTCCTCTTCTTGCGCCAACTTCTTCTTCCTTCCTCATGTTTCCCCCTTGGCCCTCCCCCTCTGTCTTCTCCACCTTCTCCTCCTCCTTCTCCTCCTCCGCCATCTGATCTTCCACTCTCCCCCTCTCACTCCCCCTCTCCACATCTTCCTGTCTTCCTCCTCCACCTGCGTCTTTACTCTCTCCTCATCCTCCAGGCGTTCTTGATCTGGCTCAGGACGCGCCGCATTTTGTTTGTGGCGCCCGAAACCGTCAGAGCTGTGTTTTGCGCAACAGGGACACGCTGGAACGGTGACTGTTCGGATGGGTAGGCCCCTGGATAGGCGAGAGGATATTTCAGCCAAAGGCCGTGGCGGTCTTAGGGCCCTGGCGCTCAGGGCGCAAGGTGCCCTCAGCGGGTGCTTGGTTGATGTTGTGGAGCGCGTGGTGGAAAGACCGCGGCAAATCGGGAATGGTGCAGACATCCCATGCGCCACGAACGCGGCCTGTATCCAGCACCCCGTTTTCGGCGACGGGAGCGCGGGGCTCACAGTGCCAGTCACCCGCAGCTGCTTCGTTTCGTTCTCCTGGCCTGACCCCCTGTGGTGCCCAGGAGGAACTTTGGCGCTGGGCCCAGGGGGGGCGCCTGGGGGCGCCCATCCCGTCGCTCCCGAAGGCGCTCGGAGGGGCTGCTGGTTGTGGGGACGCCAGAGCGCCCCATCCCCCCAAACAGCAGCGCACCAAAGGTCATCCCTGGCAAGGGTCACTTTTGCGTCGCAGGCCCGCCTGCTGCTGCGTGTGCCCTGCCTGTCTGCTGCGGCCTCTGCCCTCCTCCCGTCGGAGGGGGGGGAGCCATGTGGGTTCTGACCCGAGGGGCGGGCTCCCCGCGCCGGACGGAAGTGCTGACCGGTCACTCAGCGGCGCAAGCGCCCCTGCTGGCCAAGGCAAGAGCTGCCCGGCCCCCTCCCCGTTCTTGCTCGGGCCGGCGGCCTTGGGGCTCTCGATCGGCCAACGCCCGGCCGCCTGGGCCCCGAGCCGTTTGTCTCGGCGGCTTCTCTTGGCTCCTACGCGTTCCGTGGCGATCGGGCGCTGGGTAAACCCTAGGGGTCCTGAAGGGGCCCCCTAGGGCCCAAAGGGGGCGCGAAACGTTCGACTTTCTCCCCCTGGTCATACCGCCCATCCGTTAAAAAACGCCCCAGGCGAGCGTGGCCCGGGGAGAGGGTCAACCTCGCCTCGTCGGCGCACCGCGGTGGGTGTCGGAGCGGCGTCGGCGCACGATGTTTGTCAGTGGCGTGGGGTCCCAGAGTCTCTACCGTCATAGCTATCCGTTTCGATTTCCGCCGTGCGTTCTCAGCCGTGATCCTATGCCGCCGTCCACATCATTTGTCACCCCGAATCACTGACCCTGGCCGTCACGTGCTTCTCGCGGGTTCCTTCCAGGCTTTTTGCGGGGCTTGCGCGCATACATTGGGCTTCTCGGGGCACTTGTTTGAAGTGTCTCAGAGGCCCCTCGGGTCATCCTCGCGCTGCCCCTCTGGTATCCCTACCCAGCACGACAGGTTTCTTGGCCGTACGTCCGGCAAACATAACTATGCGTCCGAGTGTTTCTACAGGAGGCATCGGGGCGCCGCTGAGGCCTAACCAAAAGCCACGGTTCGGCGCGTTCCCTCAAACGCCGACGGCCGCATCGCGAAGATGATTCAAATCAGCGGGTGTTTTGGCCATCCGAAACCTCCAGCAAGCCTCAAATTCCACAGAGAGCATCCGAAGTCCTCAAACTCTGCATCACTCCTCCGCCCCCTCCCTTGCCCATCCTCGGGCGGACCTGTCCTGGAGCGCGTTCTGGCCAGGATTCCGAAGCGAGTTCAGCCACGGCGACGAGGGCCGATTAAAACGCCGAGAACGTCACCCAGAGGTCTCTAGGTCTCAGCAGGTATCTGGCGAGTCTTTGGAGGTTCCCAAGCACCGGGAGATTGTCGGAAGACGGTCTTACGCCCAAAATGTTCAAAAACGCAAATAAACCTCGATCCTCTCCCTACTCTTCCCTTTCCTCCCCATCCCTGGCAGACTTCCGAATCTGTGCGTTTTGTTCTCAACCATCCGGAGGTGTTGGGTCCTCGCTTTGAAGAGACAGCGCCCCGCGTCTCACCGCACCTCGTCCCCCTCCTACCTCCCTCCCTCCCTCCTTCATGCCTGCCTATGCACCCCGCATACCCCCCGCACATGTTTCCTGGCCCTACAGTAATAAGTTGCACCGAAGGCCCCAGCGGCAGCGCCCGCATGCGACTCAACCGCATGATTTCGGCACGCCCCTCACACGGTTCGTGGCCTCATAGGGAATTCCACCGAAGACCTTACCAGCAGCGTCCACATGCGGTTCCACCCTTTTGATTTCGGTGCACACCTCACACGCTTCGTGGCCCCACTGGTAGGTCCACAGAAGGCCCCAGCGGCAAGGCCCGCATTCGATCCCCCATTCGGCGCACCCCATCACGCGGTTCGTAGACCCACAGGGAATTGCACCGAAGGCCCCAGCGGCAGCGCCCGCATGCGGTTCCACCCGTTGATTTCGGCGCACCCCTCACATGCTTCGAGGCCCCATAGGGAGCTCCACCAAAGGCCCCAGCGGCAGAGCCCGCATGCGATTCCACCCCCCATTTCGGCGCACCCTTCACACGTTTCGTGGCCCCATGGGAAGTTCCACCGACGACCTCACTAGCAACGCCCGCATGCGGTTCCACCCCCATTTCGGCATACACCTCACACGCTTCGTGACCCCATAGGAAGCTCGACCAGACGCACCACCGGCAACGCCCGCATGCGGCTCCACCCTTTGCACATGTTGTAAAGTCATCCGCCCTCAATGTCTGAAGCCGTTGACGGTGAATACCGATAGGACCACGCTACGGGCGATAAAGAGGTTGGGGGGGGATGGGGGAGGCGGTCGATTTGCAATGGCCCTGGGGTCCTAGGTGGTTTCTTCAAGTATCCTTCTCGCGCACATCAGCCTATCTATCTATCGACCCATCTATATATCGATATATATATATATATATATATATATATATATATGTGTATACCCATCTGTCCACACACACATATAGATATATATGTGTATATATACACATCTATGTACATATATATATATATATATATATACATTGCCCCGGCAACCGGGTTTCCCCCTTCGAGCCGGCGCCGAAGACGCTATTTAAAGACGTTGTTCTTTGTGAAGACGCGTCCCTGTGAAGACGCTATTCCTTGTAAAGACGCTACTCCTGGTGGAGATGAGATTCCCTGTGAAGACGCTATTCCCAGTGAAGACTCTATTCCCAGTGAAGACTCTGTTCCCGGTGAAGACGCTATGCCCGGTGAAGACGTGGTTTTTTGTGAAGACGCGTTCTGCGGATACAGACAGCACTTCCCCTATGAAGACGCTATTCCCTGTGAAGACGCTATTCCCGTTGAAGACGCTATACCCTGTGAAGACACTATTCCCTGTGAAAACGCTATTCTTTGTGAAGACGCTATTTTTTGTCAAAACGCTACTCCCGGTGAAGACGCTATTCCCTGTGAAGACGCTATTCCTTCTGAAGACGTTGTTCCGGGTGAAGACGCTATTCCCGGTGAAGACGCTATTCCTGGCGAAGACGCTATTCCCTGTGAAGACGCTATTCTTTGTGAAGGCGCTATTTTTGTGAAGACGCTATTCCGGGTGAACTCGCTATTCCCGGGGAAGACGCTATTCCCGGTGAAGACGCTATTCCCGGTGAAGACGTTATTCCCGGTGAAGACGCTATTCCCGGTGAAGACGCTACGCCCTGTGAAAATGCTTCTTCTCTTTACAAGGCCCGATACTCGACGCGATCCCTTCCCAGCTGTACTTTGAAAGTGCAATTTTACTTTACGCTTTCCGTGTCCAACACGAAACGTGCCCCATCTGCTGTGCGACATCCTCTGCTAGGCAAGACCCGTCTCCAAGTTGTTCAAAACAGAATCCTTAGTACTAGACATGCCCCATCTGCTGAGCAACACCCTCCGCTGGGCAAACCCCTCCCGGAGGACCTCTCCCCAAGTTGATTGGAAAAGAATATTTGGTGCTAGACGTGCTCCTTTGCTGTGCGGCACCCTCTGCTAGGCAAGACCCACCCCCAACTTGCATAACAATGAAGCCTTGGTGCTGATGTGCCCCATCTGCTGTGCGGCACCTTCTGCTAGGCAAGACCCTTCCCCAGTTGATAGAAAAAGAATATTTGGTGCTAGGCGTACCCCATCTGCTGCGTGGCACCGTCTGCTAGGCAATGCCCCCCCCAAGTTGTTTTAAACATAACCCTTGGTGCTAGACGTGCCCCATCTGCTGTGTGGCACCCTCTGCTAGACAAGACCCCTCCCCAATTTGATTAAACAAGAATCCTTGGTGCTAGACGTGCCCCATCTGCTGTGTGGCACCGTTTGTTTGGCAATGGCCCTCCCCAAGTTGATTGAAAAACACCCTTGGTACTAGGCGTGCCCCATCTGTTATGCGGCACCTTAGGCAAGACCCCTCCCCAAGTTGATTTAGACAAGACCCCTTGGTGCTAGATGTGCTCCTTTGCTGTGCGGCACCCTTTGTTAGGCAATGCCCCTCACTAAGTTGATAGAAAAACCGAATCCTTGGTGTTAGGCGTGCCCCATCTGTTGTGCGGCACCTTCTGCTAGGTGAGACCCCTTCCCCAAGCTGATTTAAAGCAGGAACTCTTGGTGCCAGACGATCCCCATCTACTGTGCGGCACCTTCTGCTAGGCAAGACCCCTCCCCAAATTGATTAAACCAAGAATCCTTGGTACTAGGCGTGCCCCATCTGTTGGTCGGCGCCTTCTGCTAGGCAAGACCCCTCCCCAAGTTGATCTAACAAGAATTATTGGTGCTAGATGTGTCCCTATGCTGTGCGGCACCTTCTGCTAGGCAAGGTCCCTCCCCAAGCTGATAACAAACACAACTCAGTGGTGCTAGGCGTGCCCCACATGCTGTGCGGCACCTTCTGCTAGGCAAGACCCCTCCCCAAGCTGATTTAAAAAAAGAACCCGTGGTGC